ACATTGAGAATAAGCGAAAAATCGTCACCAATTAAAAATTTCCTCAAAAAGGAGGAATTTTGTGAAAATTTTACAAAATAAATTTTAGGGTTTAGTTTAATGTTTAGGTGGTCCGAGAGGAACTAGTGCGAAAATTGGCAGAGACACGTCTCTTAGATCGTACCACAATCACTCCGGATAAGCCAAATGGCCCGGCTATGGCTTCTGAAGCAGATGTACAAGGTATTCAGCATATTAAAAGGGTTTCTAATAAATCTATCCTTCTCAAACTAGACCTTCTTCAGGCAATACAGCATCTGAGTCAGACGAGATTGAAGCACGCATCAAGATACCAGTTCGAAGGACAAAAACCGAAAAGGAGCTGCTGCTTTATATTCCTCGAAAGAAAGCAAAGCCAGAGATTAAACATCATCCGCAAAGAATCGGCGCTGAGGTGATTTCGATAAGGTTGAGTAAAGCTAATCGAAAGTCGCTGAGTTCCATTATTGCAAAATGTAAACAATAACAAAGGAATGGAAAATATGAGGTTTTGAAAATTTTCTTGTGCCCTTCATCCAAGTCCATTACTAGTTACAAGGAAAGTTGTGTCTTCATTACTTTGGGAGAACAAAGCGAATTTAGGGAGAAGGATAAGACTTTAGGGAGACTAGGGAGAGGAGGGAAAGGGGAGGGAAAGGGGAAGGGTTTGAGAAGTGGAGGAAGTTATTGAACAAATAGAAGTCATATGGCCTTATACAACCAGAAAATTACATTTTAAAAGTGGAATTCTCGGGAACTGTAGAAAAGCGGTTTTATCTGACTATCATAACTCTTTGACCCTTCTTACCAAAACGTAATCCTGACTATAGCTACAATGAACCACAACCTTCCAAAATAGTGAAGATTCTATCCTTTTTTATTCCACTTGTTATTCATGGCCATAACAGGAATCTTGAATATGCTAGCTTATTCAGGATAGGACAGATTTTGTAGAAGCCGAAATTCTCACTTCTAATATGCACTTACCAATCGAAGATGAAAGAAATGACGATGACACATCGGAATCTATTGGTAGGATATTTGTAGTTCATT